AACGGCAGACTTGTTTGTACACGGCGCGCCGCGGGCCGATGATTTTCATTCTGTCTATTATAGGGTGAAAGATTACTTTTATCAGAAGCGGCGGCTATTTCCAGCGATAAAAGAGCTTTGGCCTGGCTTATTTTAGCGTTAATGCGGTTCCTATCGATTTCACCGCGACCGCGACGCGGAAGTTTACGGTCGTTATTTTTATCGATGCCAACGGAAATTACGTGACTGGCCGGAGGGCTGCTGTTCGCCGTCCGTCCGGCCGGTCCATCGATCCGCCGATGGGAAGAAGATCGTGCCAATGTGGGCGCTAATTACTGCGGAACTGGCTACTAAGTTATTTAGCTTACACGTGCCGCCGCGGGAAGCCCGTATCTGCTCCTGTCCGCTGGGATAGACTCGAATAAAGATGGACTCTGATTGTGAGTAACTGGACCCCAGTGCATTCCGAGGAACGCTGAAAAGCGAGTTTATCCGCTTCCTAAATAATCATCGAAACTGCCCGTTCCTCTAAATCCACGTCTCTCGTTAATTAAACTAGAAGAACATTGACGATCATTGCGAATATATGAACCTGTTGTTTAATACAGTCAATGGTCGTAGAGCGTAGACGAACATTTTCAGCTTAATTCGACCATGCACGTCCAGTATGCAACTTGTCAAACTGTGCGTAACAATAAGGCAGGATTAACTATAATTAAAATATTTGAAACTGTGCTCACGATTTTGATCAAATATTTTATTTCCAGATCAACTTTTTTCGTAACATATATACGAACGAACTGAATTTTGCAAGAGTGTTTAGAATGCAAAGAAATTAAAATACTAATCAATTTGGCGGGGGTTGATTTACGGCAGTCGACGTGTTAACACACTATTAGTTCAATGTCTGCAAATGCATAAAGTGCAACATGACAAGAAACAACATTAGAAAGTAATAATGATAGAGTTATTTATTTTTGATTAGGTGTTTGCAGCTTACAAAAGGAGTGCTGCTTTATGCCGGTTTCTACGTGCCGCAACGTCAGAAAAGAAGAATAGAAACAACGGCGTTCCTAGAAAGGCCAAGAAATGCTCCAAAGAATGTAAACCGATAACTTTCGTCGAAACAACGACAGCCCGAAATGTTGCTAATTATCAGGCGAGATACGTAACAACGCGACGAAATTCATGACAGAGACTACAAATCTTCTTCTTTAGTGAAGCAACTGAAACCAGGTTGGCAACGAGGTTGCCTGATGACGCCCAACGAATACCTGGACGGCACCAGCTTCCGGCGAATCCTGCAAACCCCGAAATTACCTACTTTCAGCCATCTTCCCCTCCGGAGGAGACGAATGGAGGACCGTAACGGAGCAGACAGCCGGACTAATACCGGTCGCTTTACCGTCTCGGTGGAACTCGTCCTAATGGAATCCCGGGACACACGGAATCCCAGCTTTGACTAATTTATTTGTCGATGGTCCGGCGACTCGTGCACGCGGACACGACGGCTGGCCGAGTCTTTGTCTTAACGACCAGATGCTCGGTTGATTCCAACTAATTTCGGAGGCGGTGTCTCATCCCGACGATGAGGATGTCCCGTTCAGTACGGGGCACATTTTTTTCTCTACGATCCCAGAAAAATTACGAAAATTCTCCGCTTTATGGCAGCATCGAATCCGCGTTCTCTTTAATCGAACGTAATGCATTAATTTGTCGGTCGTTCGAGTGTGTTCGTTAAATTAACACGATATACAACATGGTAGGGAAATTTTGATTGGTCAACAAGCTAAACCTAATTTATAATTAGCGATTAATTAGTCACACGAACAACGCTGCAAATATTTCAGCACGTTGTATTACAGCAATTTGCAAAGTCAGCTAATTGAAGTACGATAACCGATAAAACATAGCGATTCATTTGTGATTAATTTATAATTCCGCCGATGTTGCTTCCTATTTCCAGAAGTGGGAAGTTATATGGGAGCACAATGAAATATTTATTGCAATTAATACTTCCACGAACGGTACACAGCTCGTGCGAACAGCACGTCGCCTAGCGGACTACGATTATAAATTGATTGTCGAACAAGTCCTCATAGAATATTGTTCAACCCAAAATTCTGTTTTCGTGAAGAATTTGCTAACAATTAATGTAGAGGAAGAATTTCTTCCTAGAGCACTTCTCATAGTAGGAACGAAAGAAGTTCGTTAATATTAACCTTTTGTGAACAAGAATTTTTAAAACAATTCATCCTGATCATGTTATGTACATAATTGTGTACATAGTTGTATGTACGCAATCAAATTAAATATTCGCAACTTCTGGAATAAAACATACAGTCCTGATGATACTATGTGTCCTCAAAGGGTTAATTCTGGAGAAAACGATTCATATAGTTCGCATAGTTATAAATAATCGACTGTTTTACAACCGTCAAAAAGACGCGAAGAGATAAAGTATTGATACACACGTCTCTCTATACATTTGAAATTTGTTATAAATGTTGTCATAAATGTAGAACGACGCGGTCTTGTCAGTCAATTTTCTTGAGTTACGAAGAAAAACCAAGGAAATAAACGGAACGACCACGAAAGAACAGTCGATCGATCCGGCCAGTGGCAGAATCGTTCCCTGGTGGGCCGGTGCCAATCATTTCGTCCGGCAGCGTCACCGTCAGCCACCCTCTGCCACCCCCGTCGATCCTGACACTGGCTGATTTACTCGATCAGATAGGTTCGATTCCCTTAACGCGGTCAGGGCCCAAGGGGATGAGAGTTTCTCCGACGGTCGGACGATGATGCCGCGAGATCATTCACAGGCTGGATGATTGATAAAGCGCGCCGAGGTTTGATAAACACGAGCGTTAAACGTGCGCCAGTGCCGGCGATAAATCAGAAATGTTTTCGAGAGGCGGAGGAAAAGAGAGAGAGAACGTGAGAGAGGGGAAACGACGCGGATATCGGTGTTTTCGCGTGTTTCCTGTTTCTCCACGGTTTTATTGGGCGCCGATTCGCCGACACGGCGCACCGCTCTTCGACGTAATTGCTGTGAGAAATGGAAGACTGCACGGCTGCGCCCTTCAACCATAACCATCGAGAGCTCTCGCATTTCTACGTTGCTTACCATTGCTAGCATTAAAATTTTACTCTGATTAAAAGGGGTGGCGCGCGTTTCATTGTTATGGAAAGTCGAGTCCCTTTCCTGCTGCGTTAGTACAGGAAATCGCTACACAGCTTATTAATTCTGATGCAAACATTATTTCGAATTGAACGTTCGATCGTTTATGGTTTTTTCGTGCTAATTAGTACAGAATATATGTTCATGGAACCATTCTGATTCATTTTCATTCCGGTATGACAGTGTATGTATTGAAAGTTTTAAAACATTTAATGAATTTGCGAATACTAGATTTTGATTAGGAAATGAAATAAATATCTATGCAGCTCCTGCATCTTGTAATTAGCGCAGATAAGTTTTATTTTGCACAAAAATCCGCGGTCTAGTCAAGGTTATTTTCGTTTATCTATTTATCTAGTCATTACACTGTACTCTCGTCCAACAACAACCATACTTTGTATACTTTCCTCGAGAACAAAAATCTAAGACAAGATAAGACGAGCGTAAAATAAAGTCGTTCGCGTCTTTTACGTCGAATAAAGCAGTGCAAAGAACGTACCATGTCGGAATATGATGTCAGAATCCGCGAGAACTGTGTCAGATCGGCCCGAGGATGAAAATTACCCGGGAAACGGGAATCCGATGCAGTTTTGCCGGTCCTCGACCGACAGGATGAATTTTAAGCGTGGTTTCGAAGCTGGATCTTACCCGGTGGCACCTCCGGTTCTCGATTTCGCCGAACTTCCGGCCTGAGTCGCCAGCTTCCGCCAATTTCACTCGATTATTCCGCGTGCCGTTCGCGCGGCGTGTGCCTGGCAGGTGACGGCGCGAATTGTTCCGGTGTCGAAGGCGTTTTTTCCGCCGGCACGGCAGGCCGGGGCGTGAAGGGGGGCCAAGGGATAAAAACATTCGCCGGTGTTTTCATTAAATCGTTGCCGTTCCGCTCGACAAAAATGGAGCTCTTCGGCCAGCTGTTCGGCCCCGTGTAACAACGCGCCGTTCCGCGAGGGCGTTAATTGTGAACCCGGCCCCCGTCGGACAGGGGAGAAAAAGTGTGCCAGCGGCGCGCGAGAAACAAAATCGTTTTCATTTCACGCGCTAATAAAACTCGTATCATATATTCGTGTTAACGAATCGGTGAACGCCGTCTGCGGGAAATTGCCGTCGATACGGTCGAATCGATACCGAGGAAAATATCGGAGGAAAAACACTTTTCCGATGCACAGAGCCGATACGCGCGTGCATCGCCGCTCGTGCGCGCCATCCGCCGACGGATTCGCTCGAATCTTCAGCGCTTGTTGCATTTTTTACGGCGCGGCACAATGAAAATGCAGATTAAAATGGCGCAGAGAACTCGAGGATCCTTTCGAGGAAACAGAGGGTGGATCCTTGAATGCTGCAGGGGATGGGGGAAACCCCACAATATTATTAATTCAAGTTTCCTCCGCTATCAGCATCTTGCGGCTGAATTTGAAGAATATGCTGCTGACCCTTCGCAAGGGTGGAACGCTTCGGAAGGGGATGCTGCCCTACGCGTTTTGTTCGTGGGTTTCCTTTCAAACTGCTACAGCTTAATGAATAGTCAATGCCTCCTCGTTAAGGATTTTAACCAAACCAGCAGCGTTCCGGCTAATTTTTAGTCGTCGTGTTTGGTGATTACGTGGAACAGAAGTTCCTGCTTTTTCTGGATCTTCGACTACATAGAAAGTAACAGAAACTAAGGCAGATTGCGTTATCGATCAATCCTCCACTGCGTCGCGTAATATTCAAGTCACTCATTCGTCAGTTCTTAGTTTCAAGTTCTTATATTTTATCCGTTTTTACGTGACTGCTACGTTACTATTCGCTCACTGTAACAAAGGTTTTATCCGGCCGATAAATAAAGTCATTATTATTATTATTATCGTTAAATTTTTTTATTCAAATTATTCGCCACAATTCGATACAATATCCTATCAGTCTACCAACCTTTGGTAACAGCATTATCTTTTTATTCCGAATCGCAATCTTTCCCACTCAAATTGTGACAAGACCGTGCAAGCTCTCCCCGCGTTCCATACATTTCATTTACATTTAAAAAAAATCATGTTATCGGACAATCCATGCAATCCACTTGGCGTCGCAGTCTCACCTGCTACAGTAGAGCCCTTTTTCCACGATAGGTGCTTAATCCCGCGACCGAACGCGGCAAGCGAAATGTAACAAACGAAGAGGATTCAGAAACAGAGTATCGCTTTATTAATATCCATAATGGGTTTCGGAGCGACCGCAGAGTCCGCGCGAATGGAACAATGAAAATTCAAAGCCGAGTTGCAACACACTGCAACGCCCTCCCCCCCCGTCCTCCTCCCGCAACGGTCAGCAACGTGGTGCAGCGTTGTGCAACGCGTGGGCTCGCCGGCTCACCTGGCCGTACAATGCTCGATCGAATGAGAATTTAATTAATGTAATGCGTCCGGATCGGAGCGAAGGTATCCCGTTAGCCGCGGATACGACGCCTGCGGCCAGGTTCTCGATCGGACGAACGAGATGGATCCTCCGGTTCGGGCTCGTGTAAGTCTATAAATCCGGGGATATGCGTCTATGCATCAGACGCATCTTCAGCGGCCGGGCATCGTGCCGGCGCGTATCTATGTACCACCTTTATCCAGGATTAACTGCAACCTGCGGGGCTTGCTACTCTCTCTCTCTCTCTCTCTCTCTCTCTCTCTCTCTCTCTCTCTCTCACTCTCCTTGTGTATCTCATTCTCTCTCGATACGAGTAGGACCCGTGTTCCATGTGTGTCTGCGCGTGTTCCCGGTGAAAAAACGAAGGGAGAGAAAAAGAGGAGCGGCTCCAGACACGCGAATGGGGAAAAGGAAAAGGTGCATCGATACGCCTGTTGATGCTCGATGCATCAATGCGCATCAATGGTAATGCGCGTACACGCCGCGGTCTTTGTCCGCGACGTTTCCCTTTCGAGCGCGCGTTACGTTTCCGCTCGACGGAGCTGCGAGCTGCCGCTGCCGAGGGTTATTGATACGCTTTCAACAGAGCGAAAGCGCGTCTTTTCACCGATGAAGAAGCGTCGACGCTGATGGAATGGGAAAGCGAGGCCGCGTGGTCGAATTAGAAGAGTTCTCCTAGGCGACTCGCCTTTCGCACATTTGGCTGCGAGGAAATTGCTGGTTCTTTCGGCCTGCGAACGCTGGGCAAGAGATACGAATTGGCTTGGTATTAGTTATTCGGTCGATCGGACAGGCTTTCGCAGAAGTTGTTACTTGTCCTATCGGAAGCCAGTTTAGAGAGTCTTTGAGCCCTTGATCTGTAACAACGAGTCTAGACCCGTGATGGTACTACAACCCCTGTCGAAACGTATTCGGACACCATCTAAACAGCAATAACTTTTTTCAAGTTGGACCAAATGACTTCATTCTTTTTAAATGTTGAACGGATTACGATACAATGAGTAAGATATCTTTCTTCCATTTCGCTATTATCTGGGATGACTAAAGAGATAAAAACTCTCGTTTTTCAACTTTCTATCTGAACCTGGAACGAAAAATGCGTTTTATAAATCTCAATAACTTGTATGAATACTGAAAATTTCGTTCAGATAAGATGACGCAAGATCAAGCCACAGCCACTGAAAGACGTAAAAATGCTCTGTTTTTGGTTGAAATACTTAAAATAATACGATTTTCACGATCTTTAATCGTTTGCAACTCGTAACAATGTCAACCGATCTCAATGAAATAAGTCACAAAATCCCACAAGTAATAAGTCCAGTTAGAAAATACACGTTTTATCTTATTATATTGAGTAATTAGAACAATCCTCGAGGCTTTTGTGCTGGATTCTACCAGCAGCCTAGTCAATACTGCAGAACTAAACCGCGAACTATTAGAGGATCGTTCTCGTATTGTGTACATAACAGTAAACATGCTCATCCAAATAACGTCGAGCAAGGGGATCAATCCGTGAGCCCGGAGGAAATGATCGATTATTATACCACAGAATTAAACGTACTACATAATTCTCCTTCATTATCTCTACGAGCCCCACTTACTGTATCTAACTGCAAAGTAAAGTTTCCAAAAATGTCTTCTCTAGACTAGCCTTCGAAACCATCTCCCATAATAATACTTAGCGAAGAAGAACGAACATTTAAGAAGTGACCGATATGAACCTCTTGTACATCAACATCGGCAAAGTAAAGTTTCCGAAAGCTCGCCGAACGACAACCATCGCACAAAAAGCATTGATTATGATCCCTTCTCGCAACAAACGGTAACAAAGTTTAATTCAGCAAGAAGAACATCTTCGGCAACAGTGAACATCGCGAAGACTTTTCACTGAGCGAAAAGACGTGGAAGATCTTCATGTTCCCAGCGCGTATTCCCAAAAGAAAAGCTAGCCATTTGTAAGATCGTCCTTGCGGTTTCATTTTCTCTTATCCGCTTAATTTTTCATCCGCTCTAACGAATACCGCACGCGTCCCTAAATAATTCAGCCGGCCCCGGACAAGCCAGTGCGCCGCGAATTATTAAAATTTTCCAGATTAGACGGCGGCCCGTCGGTGACCGTGCTGTCGAGAGCAATAGGCGGAAACGTCCCCGGCCCGAAAAAAGGTAACCGGAACGAACGCGGGGCGCGGAAGATTTGTTGCCGGGACGGCGATATTTATTACGGGCAGCCGAGTCATCTGTAAACATAAAATAACCAGGTGCATCGCGTGCAACTCGTGTCTCCCTATAGCGCGTCGAGTTTCCTTTGAACAGCGACGGTCCAGGTCGGGCTGGGACGGACCGGGCCCGCGAATTTGTCAAAATGGAATACCGAAATTTCCGTGTATATTAAAATATGCCGTCAGGAAGACGGATGCCGCGTTTTACGGCATCAGCGCTTTGATATCGCGCGCAACGCTTTCACGCGAAACCAGACGTCGCCGTCCATTTTCTACGAACGGGAACGGATAATGGCGACGCACTTTCATTTAGTCGGTCGTTCATGAGCGGCGCACTGTTCCGAACTGTTCTCCGGTTGTATTTCCAGCGACACGTTCTTGTTCTCCTTTAATTACTACGGCTCCTGTTTTGTATCATCGCGGAGCGCTGTTTAGCCAACTACCGAACACGATTCTTGGTGGAAAGTTTTCAGAGGATTCTGCAAAGCCTTGAGTCGAACTCGGAGTTCATTCTGTTTTGCCGTTTAGTTGGAGACTAGAAAACAAATGGGCGAGCTGTACTAGACTTTTTGGGCGGCGCACGGACCTGTGGAAAGCTGCCGAATAATAATCATCTGTATCTAATTGCATTTATAATTGCTAGACTGCGGATTTGTACGCGAAATACAAATTTTATAATCTAATGATAAGTCGCGTGAAAATGTCTTTTCTCTTTGAATAATTTTAATAATTCGTAAATGATATAAAGATGGTCTCAAATTCTTCACATGACATCACAATTCTGTTTCCGACATAGTCGTTTCCGTCAGAAAAGCATAAAATCCGCAGTCTAATAATTACATTCGGAAATACGGTCTTTCTATTCGACCTCGGTTAAAAATTTCATAATCTGTCTTCCAGTCCCTGTACAAACCTGTATCAGAATCCTGATCTCGCGACGTCGAAGCGCAAGAACAGTTAAAGTTCCACAATTACGCTGTGCGAGATCGGCGATGGCACACTGTGACCGCTTTTGTCGCTCTTCCAGACCGTGTCTCTCTGAGAAGAGAATTACCGACGATATTATTCCATTCCGTCTGATCCTAAGGTGGACAAGAGCCGGCGCCGAACAGGCTCAGCGGCGCTGCCTGAATGATGAAACACCGTAATGAAGAATTCCGTGGGAAGTTCGAGGAAGTCGTGTTTCAAAGTAGCACGGTGTATAAATATTTCACGCGAAGTCCGGGACGTCGCGAGGGTTTATGCATTATCAGGACGATGTGTGTCGCATTCATGTGTAATATATACTCTCACATCCGACCTTTAACGTTTATTTACACTATTTATCGTAGACTTTGCGCCGTGCCTCACGATGGAAACATTTTCGTGTACGTGCGGAGGTACTACCGTAGGAAATTAGTAGTATAATAATGTCTCTCTAATTGACGCTTAGATTGTCCACAAAAATGGACAATTTAAGAAGAGGAGATACGATTATTCGAGCCTTGCGGTTTATTTTTATAGTTACGAATTGTTAACAATTACAAAAACGAGACGCGAGGCTCGAATAATCGTATCTCCTCTTCCCAAATTGTCCATTTTTGTGCGCAATCTGAGCGTCAGTTAGGGAGACATTACTGTACCTAGTATGGAGACCGTCCGAGTCTGGTTAATACTCTCTCTGTGGCAATAATGATTAATACTCGTCGGAAAATGAACAAAATCGCGCTAGAAAATGTCACCATCGTCGCGGGTATCTTAAATTCTTATTGATAAAGCTACTGGTTCGAGAAATGTGGCACACTTCCGGCGATAATTGTACTATCTAGCTCTCCTATCCGAAATATTATAAATACACCTACGACTTGAACGATAACGATATCAACATCTGTCTTATGTTCCTAAACAATCCTCTCGCATGGCACATTCCTAGAAAGTAACGTAACGCCGGCAACGATTAACTCCGCTANTCCGTGGGAAGTTCGAGGAAGTCGTGTTTCAAAGTAGCACGGTGTATAAATATTTCACGCGAAGTCCGGGACGTCGCGAGGGTTTATGCATTATCAGGACGATGTGTGTCGCATTCATGTGTAATATATACTCTCACATCCGACCTTTAACGTTTATTTACACTATTTATCGTAGACTTTGCGCCGTGCCTCACGATGGAAACATTTTCGTGTACGTGCGGAGGTACTACCGTAGGAAATTAGTAGTATAATAATGTCTCTCTAATTGACGCTTAGATTGTCCACAAAAATGGACAATTTAAGAAGAGGAGATACGATTATTCGAGCCTTGCGGTTTATTTTTATAGTTACGAATTGTTAACAATTACAAAAACGAGACGCGAGGCTCGAATAATCGTATCTCCTCTTCCCAAATTGTCCATTTTTGTGCGCAATCTGAGCGTCAGTTAGGGAGACATTACTGTACCTAGTATGGAGACCGTCCGAGTCTGGTTAATACTCTCTCTGTGGCAATAATGATTAATACTCGTCGGAAAATGAACAAAATCGCGCTAGAAAATGTCACCATCGTCGCGGGTATCTTAAATTCTTATTGATAAAGCTACTGGTTCGAGAAATGTGGCACACTTCCGGCGATAATTGTACTATCTAGCTCTCCTATCCGAAATATTATAAATACACCTACGACTTGAACGATAACGATATCAACATCTGTCTTATGTTCCTAAACAATCCTCTCGCATGGCACATTCCTAGAAAGTAACGTAACGCCGGCAACGATTAACTCCGCTACCGGAAAACAAACGAGGTCTGATACAATTAGGTCGGCATCAGACGAGCGGTTTGCGGCAGTTTTGCAACCGCGGCAATTCGCCGCCGCGTTTTCGTGTTTCAAACATTTTGCAACCGTTTCATGCAATACGCAATTCATTTCAAGCTCAGCTCCGGACGCGAGATGTTATCTACAAAGAGAGAGAAAAATATGTTTTCTTTATACATATGTGTTATCGCCAGTGCGAGATTTCTGAAAGGAGCGTTCGCGTCCACATTCACTGATTTTAGAGAAAACGAGATAACATTTTTTTAATTATTTTCGCACGACTGTAAAATCTTTCGATGAATTATGCGCAAAAATGTCTAAAAAGTTGAAAGTAAAGTCCACGGAATATTTTACCAGTGACGTTGGAGAAACGATCGACCATGGCAAAACGATTAAATTTAACTGTATAATATAAATAAAAGCTATAATTTATATTCACTAAATTTTGTTCTCTCTTGTGCGGAAATATTCATAAAATTTGCATCACTTGCAGTGCATCCATGCATCCATGCATTGTTTTATTTTTATTTTGTCATGGTACTCTTCTATACGCGTGTCCCATAATTCGAAAAATCTTTTTATGGTGCTGATAAATACGTCAGTATCGACTGCGTCCATTTTCTTCTCCAATGATAAAGGGAAAACGATTGTACGTATTGAATGCCGATACAAATGGTGCTATGATGTCGTATAGCGGTGACGGTTACAACCCTTATTTTGATAAACCATGAATTTGCCGCCTCGTGTAAATTACTTCATATCAATCACTGTGACGCTAAAACGCGGCGGCATAAAACTACATTCGAATGTTTTTTCGGCGGCAAATCGTCGCCGGCCGCTCGTCTGAAAATACATTCGCTAGCGTGACGCGACAATACTGTGCAAATACCTGAGTATAAATCGTCTGCTTTCTCCATGCTGCGAGGCTTCGAACGATCGGAGTGGCTGTCTGACTCATCGCAGACGACAGATAACGCGGCAAACACGCCAATGATAGCCCCAACAGGCGGCAACGAGGAATAATTAAACGGGTTAAAAATTCATTAAACGGATACGCTGGCGCGGCGGGAGACGAAACGCGGGCGGACCGTGCCTTATCTCTGTCGGGCGTCGAACACGGGATAAACGACAGAATTATCGGGTTCCTCGTCAACGGGGCTGGCTGAACAATAAGTCGTCGTCCCGTCGAACGAGTCAATTTTATGGGGGATTGATACGAGGCTCGAGGCCTCAGCCGTTTTAAACCGCCCGACGAAATACACAACGATTCCTTTTTCTCGTCTCTTCGTCTTCTTTTCCTCGTTGCTTACGAAGTTTTCACGCGTTTCAAGCTCTCGAGGTCGGTGAATAGTCGCTTCGGGAACTCCTGAAAGCTTCCCCGACCATCCACGCCACCGTTCCTCCTGCATCGAACGTGTTCCGATGCATCCAGACCCGACCTAAGACGGCGAATCCTGTGCGTCCTGCTTCAGCTGCGGCTTCCCGATGTTCTCCGCCTCCCCCACCGTGTCCGGAAGTTTCGTTCCCAAAGTTTCCGGGAATATCAGCGACAGAAGACCCGCGGACAGGCTCATGCAGCCGAAAAGAATCAGCGGGAGCGCCGGCATGATCTGTGCCTAAGCATCAAACGAGTTCAATGAGAAAAAGAGAGGACGTTGCTTTCGGAAGCTGCTCGACAGATTTTTCGTGAAATTACAGTAGAACTCCATTTATATGAACTCTGCGGGAGACAACCGGTTCATATAACCGGGTAGATTCACGTAATGGGAGTCCGCTTGTAACTTTTCGTTCAAATAACGAGACTTCGCGTTCAAATAAATGAATTTAAACGAACATACAAAAGGAAACTTGCTGAGTCTATATTTGTTTACGTTCGCAATAACTACGTGTTTATAAAACTGGAGAAACGCTTGACAGTAGTTCAGATAATAAGAGTTCAGCAGTAGTTCGCCCAATCGTGCATTGTCCAAAATTTTATTCCAATAAATAGAGCTTAGATAAGCGGAGTTCTACTTTAATCAGATTTTTCTCAGTCGTTTCTAACATTTGCCTCATGATCTTGTAAGCAAACTGCAGATCATATGCATTCACGTGATAAATGCGAATAGGCCAAATAAAAAACTGGGGAGTTATAAAACTGTTATATTATTTTCAAATTATTACTAATATTAAAAGAGAAAAGATATTTTCGTTTAAATTATATTTCTTGCAATTAATTTGGGTAATTTTTATTTTTATAGAAATCGAGAAAGTTCTTTCATTTTGTTTATTTTTTAATAAAAAAATTCAACGTCTTATTTGATAAAGTTAATTATGCCTGAAAACAAACCAAAGGCAAAGCAATTGGTCAGCCCGCAGTAACCGACGCCGCTATCCTATCTTATCGAGTTTGTCTAGAAAAAATTTCAAGTATACAGAACGGACGCAACTTTTTGATAGGAGAAACGTTATCGCGGCAAGTATAATGGGGTGATCGAACAGAAATTAACAGGTAAATGTTTTGTGAAAAGCTAAAGCGGCGTATCGCAAAGTTTTCGGTGCGGGACGGTCTTTGATGTTTGAAATACAGCCTCGAGCAACAAGCGGTTACTGTTCCTATTGGCTCTACGATGTAGACTCTTGTGGTGGCCGACTTACCAAAAGAGGAGTTTGCGGTGACAATATTGACCCCATGCGGCCGGTCATGCTGCAAATTCCAAGGAGGGAGTGTCTCACGTTCGTGGGGAACAGCTCCGCCGTGTAAATGTAAACCGTGGAAAAGGACATCGTGATGCACCATTTCCCTCCCATGTAGAGAATCAGGGGGATGAAGCTCCAGGAGCCTGGAAAGACAAATCGTCGCCATCTTTCAGCGTGTTCGTTCTACCTCGGGAGATCGGTTAGATGCTCCACGGCTATTGGAATTAAGCACTGGCTGAAATGAAATGGAACGGTTCGTATTCACCTGACGGCACGAACTGTATCGCGAGACAGAAGACCCCGCTCAATAGGAACGAGGAGGACAAGGTGATTTTGCGACCTAACCAGTCGGTCATGAACCAGGTCAGGAAATAGGCCGGGATCTCGACGATGGCGACCAGTATGAAATTCGTGTATTTGTCGCCGGCAAAGGCCACCGAGTTCAACGACAAGCCGTAGTACACGAAAGTGTTCGTCAGCCAGCAAAACGAGCAAGCGAGCAGCCTCGTCATCATCACCGAGCTGCCCAGAATCTGCATCAGAGGATTCTTCTTCTCCAGTTGCTCCGTCTGCAAGAGCGATCGATCATCTTTTGTCTCTCATTTTCGCGAACTAAATTAGCCGACGTTGTAAAGGTAACTGGTCGATATTCCCGCACCTTCTCGGTCTTCACCATGTTGACCTCCTTGAACTCGCCGATCGCCTCGTCATTGATACTGAGCCCGTTCATACGCGCCATTTTCCGATAAATACGCTCGACCTTATCATGCTTCCCGTTGGCCAGTAGCCACCTTGAAAACAGGGCATCGTTAGGTGTGCTGCTCGTTTTTGCACACGGGTACGGAGAAACTAGATTAATAGTGCCGATTACTGTGCCTTCGGTTTGGTCATAATTAACTTTATATTTATCGAATGATACGTATTAGGTCTTTTTATTAAAAAATAAACAGAATAAAAGAATTAAAGAATGTAATATCTCTCGGTCGATAAATATAAAGTTAATTATGACCGAAAACAAGCCAAAGGCAATTTGTCGCCCCACAGTAACCGGCTTCACTATCCTATACCGTTCGCAACCTACGGTTTACAATAAATAATCACGTTTTACGAAGGGCGTCCTGCGTCCTTAATAATGCTATGCAGGGCTCGGCAAACGGGAACGATTTCGTATCGAGCCGGCCGTTAATTAGAGCCGTGGATCCAATCAACGGGAATACACCGGTGACGTCAAAGAGCCGATTAATTGGCCGGATATCGCGGTAACAACGACGACTTCGCTAGTCGTTACGGGGGATCGTTTTGAGATCGTTAACGAGGCACGCGGGACAATGCGAATTAAATAGTCGCCGACGGAAATTACCTGACTGATTCCGGGATCAAGAAGGGCATCAAGATGGCGAGCAAAGCCGGCCCGTACACAAGCCGCAGGATCAGTCGCCAGGACCTCGTCCACATCGCGATCAATCCCAGCAGCACTTCACCAACCGCGAACAGGCAACTGGTGATCGTACTGGCTAGAACTCGACCCTTCACACCGGCCATCTCCATTCCTGAAAACCAACGTGGTTCCTCCGCATTAACACCTTCAATGCAAATCCAAACTTCTACAGCGTTTGTTAGAAGTCGCAATCCTGCATCCATTCCACTATGTTCGAGACAAGAAAATGCAATCGCAGCTTCATTAATCGGTTACGGTCATAACAGTCATTATACTAAAAGATTTTTGAGAAGACAACATCGCGTTTTACTGTTACATCGTCGTTTTGCTTGCTCTCGTACTTATGATACGAATATTCGATGCACCATCTTGTCGGAGTCCAGCAGCCAGCTCGACATTTTGAATAGCGAATATTAAATGACTTTAAACAAAAAGTATCCTCTGAGCTGATCATTAAACTAAGAATAAGGGAATTCAGTCGAATGTGCTGATTCGTAACAATAACGAGTGTAAATCTACATATTTCTTCGAATTCGTAGTACGAAGGAGTGACCCGCCATCTTTTAGGAATCCACTTCAGCACTTCGATTGATGACTATCAAATAATTTGAAACGAACTGCTTCTTCTTAGCAAATAATTAAAACAAGAACAAGGGAATTTAGTCATACATGTAAAGGTTTACATCAGTAACGATTGTAAATCTACATATTCCTCCAAAATAGGTACTAGAAATCAGTAACCCGCCATCTTGTCGGTCGCTAGGAGTCCCTTGAGCGCTTCGAAAAAGCGCTTTTAAACACCACCGAACGAGAAGATTCCGGTTGGTAAATGATTGAAAGAGGAAACAGTATCGCAGGTGATACTAATGGGGATGATTTGCAGTAGGAGTTCTCTCGGTGTTTTTCGATATCGAGGCGCAGCCGGTTCTCGCGCGGGTCGACACGTGAAACATGGCCGTTATTTATATCAGCATTATTCACGTCGAACATCTTCCCTTACTTTGCTTCGTTATTAACTCACCTAAAATAAATCCAGCACTGTAGATACCGGCTCCGACAGTCGCGTCGATAAATTCGAACGCGAGGAACATCCAATAATTCACAGAGAAGGAATGTATCAGGCCACTGATTCCGCTCAGGAACGTGGCGAGCGTCAAAATCGTGCGTCTCCCGTATCTGGAACATAACACCCGGGATGCGGGATGAATAAACAGCTATTGGCACGCCTCGTTTTTATTGTTCCGGGTTTCTCGCGAACGTGTGACACACGGTCGACGAGCACCCCGTCTCGCCGAGACAGTCAAAGGGTAGTTCGGCGAGCGCCGAATTCTTTTAAAACGAATCGTTAATGTCCGCTGCGATCTCGAGTCGGCGGCCAACAATTTGTAACTTTAAAGGATCGTCACGGAGCTCGTGGGACTCGTCGAAAATTACAATCTCGAGCACCGCCCGAATCCGAATTGGAAATTGTAGGCCACCGGCGTGAAAGTTTATTCCGACCAAGCTCGCCGAGCTTCAAAGTTTATTACTCGTGAAAGCACCGGCTTCCACCAGTTGTCTTCCATAGTACATGCTGCCGGGTTTCTAGCTTCGGTTTGAACAATTTTTTAGCTAACGCGAGCTCACTGCTCGAACAAAGATCATTTTCTTCGTCGAACTTGGTTGCTTGGCTTCGGAGATTACAGAAAGTCGTCTGGCGTTAGATCGCTTCAAAATGTGAAGAAAACACCTTGACTGCGTAAGTATTTGCGTATTGATTTTGTGACAACGGTAGAGATACGAAGATTAGTAAAAATTGAATAAATAAAACCAATAAGTCAAGGATTAATTAAAATTTAGACAGAAGCGTGACGTTACATCTTTATGCGATTTCGATTCGAATAGATTATTATACAAACACTTTTCTTCTTGCAGTAAAAATAAACCAAAGGTGCCGTCGATTTTAAAACATTGTGCATAATATTAATGCATAATTATCCGCAAGATGTAAACGCGAATGAATATTTCAGGAGGCCAAGTTACTTTATAAATGAACTACCAGGACGGTCAAAAAATAATTCGAATCAGTATGTTTCACTATTTCTGGGAAAATTTGAGGCATCCCCGACGGATCAAGGTTCCGTCGGCCCGTTCCGTCGATCGAACATCGTTAGCAACCAGATCCGGACGAGGAATCCCATTTCCTGGACCGGGATCCTTGCCCGGGCAAGACTAATTAAGAGCCCCGGTCCGTTCCGGCGATTATTTCTCACCTGTCGGACACGTATCCGGCGAAGATCAACCCGACGAATTGGCCGACGTTATTTATCGTGCCCACCAACGTGAGCTTCCATCGGTTCACGTCGCAGGTCAGACCCCACTGTGCAAACAATGTGGAAACAAAGGAAAACCGTGAGTCACCTGCTGTGTACATCCACCTGTGACCGGTCGGCCCTCCACGCGAAACGCGATCTTACCTCGCTAAGTATCGTGTTCTCCGACGGATCGTAGATCCACGAGTCGCATTTGCGAGTCACGTTGCTGAAGACCTGATCCGTGCACTGGTCCGTATGGTTGATGACTTCGTAACGAGCGCATTTCGACATCTCCGAGATGTCCGGCGCGGATTCGGCGGCCCAGGGCACGTCGAAGCTGGTGTCGTTCGCATTTTCGCACTCCGGCACCAGACACCTGGAGGAGCATTCGATAAGCTGTGATCTTTTTATTGAAGCTAGGGTCACATAGAAAGCCTTTTCAACGAACATCAAGTTATAGACATTTTTTGTCGACACTGAAGCAACAGAGCCTGAGGAACATTTGCGGTTTACTCCGTTTTCAAGGCTACGCTAATTTATTGCTAGCAACAGACTAATTCGTACGCAAATCAGTTTATTTCGAGCTATGACCGAAGAACGTTCCGTTCCGAACTTCTTCGAAATTCTTTCCTACAGCCGTGTTTATTGTGTGGTCGGTGATTAAAATAAAAGTTTGGATGTAAACAAATCTATACTGTCGGAACGAAACCCGTGTGTTTATGTTTGACATGAATTCGCGCATTCGTGTCAAGTGTTAGCTCAAGAAACACATTAAAGTGTACAGTCAATATTAGTTATAAATCACTGTGAAAATATTAGAATCATTCCCACAAGATCGATCGTGAAAAATAAAAAGAAAGTCGCATGAAAAATCTGTTTCAGGCTGACATCTTCAACGATTTTTTAGCCTGTGCTTTTATCTGCACCGCTCCGAAAGGAAACAGGTAACACGTCGACTACGGATCTTTATGCAAAATAAAAATGTTCTTTTTGCAAAAAATAAGTGGTACATGTGCATTTAATTCTTAGTAAATCGATACTCTGCAATCATTTTAATTTGTCGATTGTTTTGAATTGCTCCAATTTGTTTTTCTTAAAAATGCGCAGAATCCGCAGTCTATAACAGTAATAAGCAATGATATTTGTTGCTGGCGATAGGAACAGCTTGAAGGCGAATACGACAACGGGCGACGATTTTGTCGACCAACGTAGACGATCAACAAGAAGTTGTTGCTTCAGCCTGGACACAGTGTCGACGTTTATCGTATCCAGTAAAAGTTCGACGTATCGCAGCGATCGGACAGAGTACAGACGCATCGCCGTCTCGGTGTTCTTAAGCCGATTAATAGGCAGACGGTCGTTAACCAACGGCGGAAAATAAGCCGATTAACAAATTGCCGGCGTGCGAACTATGTATTGATTGACGCATTAAATTTTCTCGCGTCAAGTCGCCCCGTGAACTCGGGATAGCGCTTACACGAATGCTTGCAGCGTACCTTTAATATGTATGAGCAAGATCGGCCGCCGACATTGTGACGTAACTGTCGAATTGTGTTAATGTTTTCATCGAGATACTCTCGAACATTGTTCTTCGCGAACTCCTGTCTCCCAAACTTTTACCAACGAAGAATTGTCTGCTGCACGAAATACAAGCGTCGTCGGAGCATGAAATTTTTTAATCACACTGTTTTAGCAATCTTCCGGCGAACGTTATTGTCGCAAATACACGCGAGTATATTGCTGCGTAATGGTCGTTCAAACAGCGAAATGATTTTTTCATTGAATCTAATTTTAATGAACTTTGAAGACGTTGGTAATCGTACAACTTTATTGCATATTGGATTACGATACGGGAACTGCAAAACTATACGCCGACGATTGCTATTATAAGTTTTAATACCGAGATCTTTCGTGACGCTACCTGCCGGCACTAGATCTGGTATCATAGGCTGAAGCACCGACAGAACAGACAAATATACCTTTGTTACGTAAATAATTCGTTTGTTTGTGACAGTAAGAATGAGATACACTCGCTTAGGAAAGTATGTTAACACCTTTTCAAAACTGGTACAAATGACTTGATTTTTTTTAAATGTTAGACCGTCTGGAAAATGTGTATATAAAAATTTGTTTAGATTGTAACCGGTACGAATCGTAAAAAATTTAAAAAACGATGTTCCGTCTGAATCTATAACAGAAATATAAAAAAAGTGCGTTTTGGGTAGATTCGTTTTCTAGAAAATTAGTAGATCTATCATTTTAGGAAATTCAAGTCATTTGGACCAATTTAGAAAAGGTTATTCCATTTGGAAAGGTGTCAACACATTTTCCGACGCGAGTGTATCCTTGACGTCGTTGGTACATATATCTGCAGCACACTCGTTCTCAAACTGTTCTCAGGATTTTCGATGACCGTACCATGTCGCGGAAGAGCTGAACATACATTTAATATATCTTCGAAGTTTGTTACATATTTTCATTGATAGACAGTAAAACTGTTATTATAGATTTTTACTTGGTTGGATAATTGTAAATTAATTTGCATTTGAGGCGCTGAATCTACGAAATCGAACTTTTTCGTTAAAACTCAACTTCGAAATAATAACAGAAAAATAAACGATTAAACTTCGCTACAGAGGATACGTCATCGATTTCAAAATAAAATTACCACTATTTTTAAAAAATTGATTACGAAATCCGTAGCTCCGAACCATAAGTCCTCGAAAACCATTACACAACCGTCGATGGTTAACGCACTTGGGTTCGCTGAGTTTCTCGCAACCCCCAAAAAACGATCCATCGCGTCGTGACGGAAGTGATCGAGACATCATTAGATGACGCAACGCTGAAATGGATCGAGAGATCCCGTAAGCGCACGTAACCGCGGCCGCTGTGTCGGAAGGGTTAATCGATCGCGTAATAAAGTAATCGTTTTTACGAGCGGCCGATTACACAATCGATCGTTCGATCGGCACGGTCGGCGCGCGCTCGATCCTGCCACGTAGATCCTCGTTAGATTGTGATCGATCTCGTTCAGGATCGGGACAAGGAGGGAACTGTTGTTCGCAAGCATCTCGTGTACGTACAAGCAAACCGCGCGGACAAAGGAGCGGATGCTTGCAACAGATTACGAAAAGTGGCCGCACTAATCATCATGCCATCTGAAAAAACAGACGTTACCTGTATTTAACTTCGCCGGCTGTGAACACGTAAGCAAGCGTGAATCCTGCTGACAAGAACAGAGGCAGGCTGATTATCGAGAACATGATCATTTGATAATATCCGAAACGATCCACGTCCTGCTTCCCGCTCCGGTCTCCCTTCTCCCCTACAAAAGACAGATTTCCGACGATCACCGATAAGCGAGATATTTCCGAGAGCGAGGGTAATCCTATTCATCGTACATAATAACGCGACCGGAAGAGAATCGGAGAGGGGGCACGATGAAAAAGAGCGAAAACGAGAGGAGAAAATAGAGAGGTAAAGATGGAAAAATGGAAGGAAGAGGGAGGAACGATAGAGAAACCGATCGAACCCGATGAAGCCGAAATTGGGTCAATCCAAAAACTCTTAATCCACCGATCAGATTCCGCCGGTGAAAATTGAAGCCCTCCCGTTGACACGCTATATTTCAGCCGACGCGAGAAAGGGAAGCGGTTAGGGCGCGAACGCGAACGGCTTCGATCTTCGCGTGCACGTAATCGTGATCGATAATTTCCTCCTAAATCACGCGGCCATTTTACGACCGGCCATCCGCCAAGTAATTACACCGGTGGGCATCAATTTCCTGTATCCGTCATCGCCGAAACGAAGATTCTCTTTCTACCTCCCCGGGGGTGCTCCTGCTGCTGCTCTGCAGCTCGCCGCCGCTGCATTGTCGTGTTTCGGTTCACCGACGGGATTAACTTCGCTATAATCGGATCGAAGTCAATTACTCGCTCAAGGACACTTTCCCTATCGGCTCGTGCGGGACCAAGTTTCGATTTCGTCGGAGTGTCGCGACAATTTTCGACCCCTTGATGCACGCGATCGGAAAAAAAGAACACGAGCTAGTCCGAGCATAAAAGTGTTCGTACCTTTTCTACTTTGATCACGTGAAATTTTTACATAATTCGATGACGAGGTCTGGAAAGATTCGGTCTCGATTTGATTACGTACGTATCGAAAGAATATTGTAGGATAGATTGACTCGCGTACCGGAACGTAACGTTAAGCTTGATTGCGGAAACAAAGTTTTCTCCTGCGGGATAAAGTCTCCAATTTTATAGTAGACCGTCGATAAAAATTTAATCGATGGCTTCGTTCTCGTTCAGGTTAGATTAACCGTGTGAAAGTGCACGATCTAAAAAAAGACGCATGTTTTCACATAAAAAGCAGGAGCGCTTGTTCATTTTCAATTATCTTCTCACGGGAAAAATCGTTTACAAACGCCTATTATTTCTGTTTCAAGCGACAACTAACTCGTTCGTTCTCAATTGTCTTCTCATGCAAAACTGTTCAGCAGAGCCTACCAATTTTCGTTCCAAGTAATAACTAACTACTTACGCTAATTTTCAATCATCTTCTCGAGCAAAACGGCACAGTGAAACCCGGCAATCTTGATCCTCAATTACTTCCTACTAAGGACTAGTAATCAAACTACGGATCTCCTGGCGAGTCTTAGGGAAGCATGTGCACTGATAGCGACTAATGGAATTTTTATTTCATTTAACCAGACTTATACAATTTTCTTAATCATTCATTTAAACAATGACGGAATTCTGCAAATCAAATTTTACTTGCTCTTGCGTCTTCATGTTAATATTTATATCCTTTCATATAACAAGCATAAAAACATTGTATTATAGTGCAGCTTCCAAAGATATATGAACATTTTTTTAATAGTACAAAATAGCAATGCAAAATAGTATTAAAAAGCTATTACTATAAGTTCTTATGAAGGTAGTAAATAAAATAAGATGAACCATAAAAAAATAAAATATTTGTATAAAGAAAATTACGTTTGACGCTATGATCTCGGGAAAAAAAACTTTCTTGCCAGCTTAGTACTGCATTTGAATGAAACTGTTCTACACATCCAAACAGATCATTTGAATCGAGAGGAGTGCCCGAGAAAATGTCAGACGTCCAAACTAATTCGTGGCCCTTACAGTTAATTGTCACTTTAGTTAAAGTTATAGAATAATGCCACTATCAACCCCCAACATGGAAAAACATTATCTAACCGTTCAGAAAAGAGTATCGCAGACAGTACAGCTGACACTTGTTAGACTCGCATATAAAGTTGCGAAGCTGCAAAAATGGTTGATAAATAAGGAAGGAGCCACGAATCAATTTGACCAGCAATAGTTTCCTGCCAATCGATTAGAACATTCGGTAGAAGACCAATCGCTGTACCATCGGGAACACGACTTCGTCGGGCTCGTTATCGAAGCGGGCTCCAGGTGTCGACGCTCCTCTGACCCCAGGGCCGAGAAACCCGGCCTGGAGATCGCGCCTCGCGACAGAATCAGCGCCGGTGATTAGCGCGAGTTGCGGCTAATCAACGGGCTCGTGCCGGTGTTTATCGCGTTTAAGCAAACGGCGGTGACGGTACGAAAGTGTCGGGGACGGCGCGCGGATTATCCAGGCTAATCAACGTGGTTGCATACCTCTGGTGCCATCCTTGGGCTTCGGCGTGGTGGCCGGGGCGTCGTCGCCCGAGCAGAAGAGCTTCATGCTGTCCTCCTCGTCGCCCCTTAGGCTGCGGACACAGAGAGATTCGAGAATTATGCCGGTTCACAGGCGACTGTACCCAGTTGACCCGGCCCGGGTCGAAACGCCGTTCGATCGGCGCGCTCCGCACGCGGAAGCAGCTCGCCGCGACCCAATCGGTCTTTCGCATTACGTAAATCGAACTCCGCGCTGTTATCGGACGAAAGTCCGCGAAACCAGACTCGTTGTCACTCGATACGTGCTTCGAACTTTCACAACCCGGGCCGAGAAAACGGCGGCGCGAAACGGAGATCGCGGACGACCGCTGGCAGTCGAGAACCAGCGTGTACCGGCGACACGAACGCGGAATAATCGTTGACAAACGAGAATAATCGATGCCACGGTGGGCAGGGAGCACCGATAACGAGGCCTGAACGTGCAACTGCGACGTGATCGCGAACAACTCGCAACTAATGCCGATTTTCCGGCTGCGATCGGTCACGGTCGATCCGCCTGCGAGAAACCGCGAGCCAATTGTTGGTTCGGCGCGTCGAGTCGCACCGTGGCGTGACACGTTGATTATGATAATTGATACCGTCGCACGACAGCTAAAGACCGCGGCTTACGATTCCCAGTCACCGGAAATACACGACTCCGCTCTGTTCCCGATCCGCTCGATTTCAGGGGCCGCCGGTGACGCGGAGAAGGACGTCCGATGTCCTTCTGCTCGCGTCTACAACCTTCTTCCGGCACAAGTGCCGTTGACTTTCTAATAAGTATGGAGCGACCGATTCCGTAGGTACGACACGTCTATGGGGAAGATGCATTTTCTTATGCGATCCGCGCGCAACGGTCGCCAAGGCTGCGACCGCGACACGATTAGTATCTCCCGACGGTGACGAGGCTTTCTGCCCTTCGATCTCTTTCGTGTCAGGGACGCGTCTGTGGCTGGAGGTGAATGATCAGGAATCAAGATTCCTGAGGTATGTACTTTCTAAGGAAAGTGATTTGAGAAAACAATTTCGTTTCTGAATTCTCTACTGTCGGTCTTCTCGGGGAGAAGAATGGAAGTTGAACTGTTCAAATATTTTTAATAATTAAATCTTCTTCATTCTTTTATTTTATTCAGTTTCGAATATTCAATCTTTTTATTCTTTTATTTTATTCGGTCTCGAATATTCAATATTTTTATTCTTGTATTTTATTCAGTTTCAAATATATTTAATCTTTTTATTCTTGTATTTTATTCAGTTTCGAATTTTCAGTCTTTTTATTCTTGTATTCTATTCAGTTTCGAATATTCAATCTTTTTATTCTTGTATTTTGTTTATTTTTTAGTATATTACATTTTCGTATTCGTTTATTTTATTTATTCTTGAGAAAAACATGTAACGTTTCAATCAATAAATATAAAGCTGATTACGCCCGAAGTGCAAACAACTTTATAAGCAATCACGTTTCGCAATGAAGACATTCTAAATTGCATAAAATATCTACAACAGTTTGCCCCAAGTGTGACGAGCTAGGAGTGATTGCAACAGAATTTACTTCTCTAAGAAACTATCTAGACTACAATTGTTTTGTACCTCTCACTTTGTATGCCTACGTAGCAAGAAATACTAGCGTATAATTGATTAACGCAAAAAAGACTCCGAATCCGTGAACTTCGCGTATCGATACTTAACAAGTACGTACTTCGGTATCTACCAAGAGATTCAATCAGCGTACATTTCTGAAACCCGAGATACCGTCTGGTGGTTACGAGCGACGAGGCAGTGAGCTGAAACAATGTAGAAGACGTTTTGCCTTCCAGCCACAGGTAAATCAACAGGAAACTGGCTGAGAATCCGAAGAGCGTCGCCGTAAATCGTTGTTTTATTATAATTTATCGTTGTTCGCGGACTCCTTCCGTTTCCCACCGTGAATACACAACAGTGATTAGCGTTGGTACGCGAACGATACCGGCTTCACCTCTCGAAGATCGCGGTTTTGCTCGTTCACCAATTTCTGCCAGCCTCTAGGCCAGCGCGCCGGCTTCGCTGCAACAATTATGTTCTATCCGAGCGAGACCGACGCGGACGTAAAATGATAACTTCTGGTGATACGAGAGACGCTGTTGGCAGAGTGTTCGCGATCGGCATCGCCAACGCGTAAAAAGGCCAGAAATCGAGTACGGAGAACCGGATGACTTCCAGCGTGCATCGTCCTTCGCGTGCAATTCCGAGGCCCGGCAAATTAACATACATTAACGTTTCAAGCCGACACCCCCGCTCGGCGAATCTTAGTTCCTCGATAAACACGCGGACGGTGTCCTGTTACCGAAAAGCTCTCCCGTTCCACGTGCATTAACTCGGCCAACAGGAATGACCAACGACATATGTCACAGAATGTGAACAGTAACGCGCGCGTTAACGAGGACAATCATTCTTGCAGAAGTCAGGCAATTTTGCGTCGGGGCAGAATGTTTGGAAACCAGAAGAATCTGGAAACTGGCTAATAAAAATTAGGAGGGCATCGATTACGAACTCACTGATTTCGCGATTAGCATTCAGCCTGAATGGCGCAGCTTTATTTACGTCCGAATGTTTGCACTTTCGCATGGTGCATTACGCTAACGGAGAGCATCGTAACCTTTGACAACATATTAGGTGTTCAAGTTAATTTTAGTCTTTTATCTGTCGATGATCACACAAGCTATTTACAATGGGACTATCGTAACGAGAGATCTGATGTCTTGTAGTGCTAACTAGTTTTTCAATGCATTGCAAGACTTAATCGATCAACGTACCAACGTGTCGATGAATTCATCACAGTGAAACAAAGCTGCTCAAAGAATGGGCAAAGGTTATAAAAAACAATTGACTAATCGTTTTGTACGCGAAAATTAAACTTCTAATTTGTATTTATCTAATTTATAAATAAAGACTAAAATTAACTTGCATACCATCCGCTTAAGGTTCGTCCGTTAATAGATCAGATCAGCTGTCAATGGATCCGAATGAACACTTTGTAGTACCGTTTCTAACGAAGCTGTTGCAAAGGTGCACGCAAGCTTTCCAAACGGACGAAATAAAGTGACATTTTCATCGAAACTTCCGCGAAGGACGTACCCGCAAGTTGCCCAACCGCGTCGGAACGATTGTATTGTAATTTTCAGCGCAGCTTCTTGAAAGACGCGCACGCACAAGTCCAACTTTCGGAGCAAAGATTCTAGCGGAATTTTTACCGAACCTCGCGCGGATTCCCTAAATTCACGGCAACGCTTGCACACGTTTCGAGGAAAGCTTCGCCCGCGTAAAAATTTCCGAATACATCATTGAAAGAGACATGCGGCATCGAAGCCGCGCGAACAGGTCCCGAAAACGGTTCCAGGAAACCGTCGGGAAAAACAGGAAGCTCGGGAGTGGAACGCGGAAGAATTTAAAATGTGCCAAAACCGTGAGATCAATATATCCGGAAGAGAAGAAACGAACGAACGAACGCACGCACGAACGAAACTCTCTCGCGCCGTAAACACGCTCTCCATCGAAGGCGACCAGCGTGCATCGATGAAAATGTTGGAGCGCCAGCGGCGGCGACAAGCAATCACAATTGAACGGAATTGTCCACCTTGAAACGCGATCCAGTTTAAGTGATCAATTGCTACTATCAAGTTAAACGACCGCGTCTAATCGTCCACCTTCTTAATTTAACCTATCACGCTGCTAATGAGAGACAGAGACGCAGTTCCGTGTTTCTCGTTCGAACCGGACAAACGATTGTCCTTTGAACCGCGGTGCCGGACCTTTGATTGTCTGTGGCCTGATCCCGGAATGGAATACCGGCGGATTAATCGTGATTACGGATGCGTAGGCTTTAATCGGACCTGTGGAGCAACCTGCTCGCACCGGGGAGTCATTCACCTGAGTCTAGGTCGGGCAAACGAGCGACGGGGATCGGTTCTCGGCGAACACTTCCGGCCGGTGCCGCCGGGTCACCTGGCCAGGTAACTCGCACGGCCCGCTGGAGACGATAACTCTGCCGGAAACTGCACTCGCGGGACCACGTTACGATCGGAACACCGTGATCCTCGCGGATTCGGACGCGAACAGGTGTCCACCCGAGGTATCGGCTCGCTACACCATCTTCGACGCCGTTTCCGGATGATCCAGTCGTTGATTCGTTAATTCTTCCGTGCACCGTTTACTAAAGAACCACGGACCGACGCGTGCCACACAGATACATGATCGTCGCCGACCTGTTGCCTTCCTGCTGCAGCAACTGTCTTTGAAGGTAAACGCATGCCAACACTCCGCTGTCCCCGATGACCAAGGGGGACGCGTGGGGGAAGCAAAACAGACGGAGGGGGCAGGGTCGGTCCTTCTTAAGTTCTGGACTCTCCGATCGGGAGACACTCGCACGAACGGCATCGCAGTGTTAAATGGTCGATGCAGCTTGCCACGCTTGCGCATCGACGTTTTTATCGAGTTAATTTGCTTTTCATAATTAAGTGTACTCGCACGTGATACGATACAAAAGAATCGTACGACGATAATTGCTGTCACGTTCGATGCCCCTATTTTTGCAGCGACTCGTTTTTTGCTCGGATGTTCTTGCGCGATCCAACACGTGAGAGCGTAAAGACGCGTTCTTATTTTTCTCTCGGAAATGATGCTAATTGAAATGTCACTGGGAACATTGGGAAAATTTGTCGGATCCGAATGTGGCATGGATTCGGCATCGAGATCCAAAATTCGACGTATGATTTTTCTTGGATCGTTCCATGAAGCTTCGAATGAGAAATGTATATTACCAATTGTAGAGTACAGTAATGTCTCTCTAATTGACGCTTAGATTGTACACAAAAATGGACAATTTGAGAAGAGGAGATGCGATTATTCGAGCTTTGCGGTTTGTTTTTATAGTCACGAATTGTCAACGATTATAAAAACGAGCCGCAAGGCTCGAATAATCGTGTCTCCTCTTCCCAAATTGTCCATTTCTGTGGACAATCCGAGCGTCAATTAGAGAGAGATTACTGTATAATGCACTCGGAAATCAACAGGACTT